GCGGGGCCCCCGAGGGGGGGCAAGCGCTTGACCTTTCTGTACCTCTGCTCGCAAAATGCGGTCCAGGTTACCTCTCTTATCCTGCTGTGTCCGCCTCCGCAGGGGCCGCAACAACCCCCCGCGTCGGGCGCGAGAGGGCGCGGGGGCCGGGCACGCGCGCGGGGAGCGCGGGGGGCAGTCGTCGCTCGGCGGGGGGCGCGGGCTGCGAGATCCCTCACCTGCCCGGGGGCTGGGGGAAGCGAAGCAGCGACGCCGGCTGCGCCTTCGCCTTCGGCCCCGCTGCCGAAGGGCCGCTGGCTTGCGGAACCACCTCCTGCACTGGTCCGAAGAGCTTGACCCACTGCTCCGCGAAGTCGACGAAATTCTGCCGGACGCCGAGCATCTGGAGCACCTTGGTGGTGGGGTCGAGCTGCAAGCTCACCACCGTCGCCTTCTTGTGCGAGGCTCTCGGCGGGCAGTGCAGGCGAAGGACATACCTGTGCCTATTGCCCTTTGACTCGGCCCAGTACTGCCCCAAGCCGGGCTTCTGCCAGACCGTGCCGTCACGCTCAACCAGGGGCTGGCACGTCATCGCAAAGGGCGGATGATATCCTTCGCCCAGCCGGGAGAGCTTCTCAGCCATCTCAATCCCGTCTTTGACCTCTCGCTGAAAGGTCACGGTGATCTGCGGGCACCCTCCCGGGATGGCGGGGACTGCCCCGTCGGCGGCCCTGTTCACGTACGCCTTGAAGGCCGACGCCGCCGAGATGCCCGGCGCCTCGGGCGGTGGCACCACCGCGGGCTGGTCGCTGGGCGAACGCGAGGCGAATGCTGTGGCTGCAGCCGCAATCGCGGAGCAAGCGGGGCCTACCTCTACCCCCGCGGCTTCGATCTCGTCGAGCAGCGTTCGGATGGCCTCCACCAGCTCGTACGTGCACTCGTCGGGATGGGCCTCATCGGGTCGGGCCTCGTCGGGCCCGTGCTTGCCCGCCGCGCCAGCGCCTGGCGGCGCGGTCAGAGCCCCCCCGCCCGCGCTGGAGGGCGGGTACGCGGCCGCCGAGCTCGCCGCCCAGTGGCCGCCGGCAGTCGGGCCGGCGTGCCAGGACGCCAAGAAGCCCTTCCCCGCGGGGGGCACCACGCCCGGCGGCGCTGCGTGCTGAGCGGACGCTGGGTCTTCCGCCGCCGCACCCACTGCGACCGGCGCCGTCGTGGTCAGGGCTGCCTTGGCCCCCCCTGGCATCCCTGTAGCAGTGTAGCAGCCGGTGGCGCCAGCTGCTGCGGCTGCGGCGGAGGTGGCGGTGGTCGCATGCTCTGGTGCAGGGGAGGCGGCGTCCCCTGGTGGTACGCCGCCTGCTGCCCGGTTGCTGGCTGGTGCTGGTACAAGCCTTGCTGAGGGGGCGGCGCCCCCTGGTGGCAGGCCGCCTGCTGCCCCGGCGCTGGCTGGTGCTGGTGCAAGCCGTGCTGGGGGGGCGGCGCCCCCTGGCGGTAAGCCGCCTGCTGTCCCGGTGCTGGCTGGTGTTGGTGCAGTCCGTGCTGGGTGGGCGGCGCCCCCTGGTGAGGCGCCTGCGTCTGCAGCTGCGGCGGGGCCTGCTGCGAGGGGAGCGGCAGTGGCGCCTGGGAGTAAGCGGGCAGCTGTCCAGGTGCGTGCTGCCCAGCTGCCGGCGGCGACTGCCTCGAAGGGGCCTCTCCCGCCTGGTGTTTTCGCGGCGAGGGCGGCGCGGTGGCGCCAAGCCACGCCTGCGGTGGGGGGCCAGCGGTGGGCCTGCGAGCGGTCCGCCCTGCTGCCCCGGTGCCGTCGCCCCCGATAGCTCGGGCCGCTGCGCCAGCCCCCGCTGGTGCTGTAGCCAAGCCATGTAGGCGAGCCTCTGGCACGTCCCAGGGCTGAGGGGTGGTGTGGTGGCTGGGGGCGGCTGCGCTGCCAGTTCGCTGGAAGCACCGCCGCCCGCTGGGGCACGCCCCCGTGGGCCTCGCGGTGAGCCGTCGCGGGTGCGCCCCTGCCTGGCTGTCCCCTCCGCGCCCTGCCCGGACCGGGGGAATGGTTTGCGGCTGTCGCGGCCGTAGACCTCCTTGGCCGAGAAGGTGCTCCGGGCTGGCGGCGACCCAGCGTGCCGGCGGGGGCTACTGTGCTGCAGCGGCTGGCTCGGCTGGCTCGGGCGCCGTCGCGAGAGCGAGCGCCTCGGCCGCGAGCGCCCCGACCGCGAGCGCACCGAGCGCGCGCGGTCGCGCGAGCGGGGGCGGTCACGCGATCGCGAGTTGCCGCGCGGGCGAGGGCGGTCCCGCGACCGCGAGCTGTCGCGGGGCATGCCTGGCGACGCACGGAGGGGAAGGGATAGTGTCCCGGCTGAGCGAATCCCCAGCTCGAGCCGGAACAGCTGCGGGCGCCGAGGACGGCCGTCAGAGGGGGGAAAGGCCCCAAGGGAGAGGTCAAGAGCTCCGAGGGCGCCACGAGGGAACGGGCGGCAGGCCGACCAGAGGCGCGATCATCTTCACGCACCCCGCCACCCAGGCGGGAGGGCAGCAGCCCGGCCAGGCAACGACACGGAACGATATCTTCACTCTCTCGCGCGACTGGCCGCAACCCAGGTGTCATCGACGGTGCCAGCGACCCCCACTCGATACCACCCAGGGGAAGCCCCATTCTCAACTTTGTTGCGTCCTGCTTCGGCGGCCGGGCGTCCAGACCGTTCCGCCCCGAATTGGAATCGACGCATGCTGTGGGAACCTCCACCCCCACACGGCAAGCCTAATGGGGGTCAGTCGCAACGGCAGGCAAAATCAATTCACTCAAAATGCTCCCTCGGGGTGTGCTCATCGTTATGCTATGCCACACGCACCGCCCAACAAAAGACAAAAACCCTGCGTGGCAATCTAAACGGTCGCCGGCGCCGCCCCGGGGATTTTGGCTCAAATCGAGCACCCGGGATTTGGCGCAAATCGCGCGCCTCGCCCGGGGCAGCGAAATCGGAGGAAGGGCAGGCATTTCCTGGAGAGGGCGAGCCCCTTTGGGCCCGACCGAAAACGCAGCTTTTGAATAATGGGGGCATGAGTAGGTTAGCACCCGCCGCCCCTTCCACCACACACTGAGGGGAGGGAGGGGGAGTGCCTGTGGGCGAACCTGCAGGAGCGGAGGGAGGGGGGGGAGTGCCTTTAGGCGTGCCTGTAGGCACAGAGGGAGGGAGGGGGAGTGCCTTTAGGCGTGCCTGTAGGCGCTGAGGTAGGGAGGGGGGAGTGCCTTTAGGCATGCCTGTAGGCACAGAGGGAGGGAGGGGGAGCCTTTAGGCGTGCCGGTAGGCACCGAGGGAGGGAGGGGGAGTGCCTTTAGGCGTGCCTGTAGGCACAGAGGGGAGGGAGGGGGAGTGCCTTTAGGCGTGCCTGTAGGCGCTGAGGTAGGGAGGGGGGAGTGCCTTTAGGCATGCCTGTAGGCACAGAGGGAGGGAGGGGGAGCCTTTAGGCGTGCCTGTAGGCACCGAGGGAGGGAGGGGGAGTGCCTATAGGCGTGCCTGTAGGCACAGGGGGAGGACGAGGAGAGGGCGGAAGAGCGGAGGAGGAGGAGGAACGGCATGGGGGAGAAAAGGGGGGGGAGGAGCGGGAGGAGTGAGGTCCGCTTATCGAGGGCTGTTGGACCATTTCCGTCATGCCGGGGCCCTGGGCTCAGAACGGCCCGCGGGCCGGGGCCGAGCAGAGGAGACGGGGCTATGGAGAGCCAGTGGCGCGTTGCACGACGGGGGGCGCCCTTCTGAGAAGACGGGGGGCCTCTCCGAGGGCAGGGGGCTGCCCGAAGGACCGGAGGCAGGGGTCTGCCCGAAGCCTCCTCGAGGGAGGACCCTCTCCGGGGGGCAGGGCCGAGGCTTCTGGGAAGCCTCCTCTGGAAGGACCCTGGAGGCCTCCGGGGAGGCCTCCCCGAGGTCAGGAGGGCTTCTGCGAAGCCGCCCGCCCTCTCGGAAGCGCTCCTGCCTTCTTGGGGGGTCCCCCCGCCCTCGCGCCACCCCTCCGCGCGCGCCGCTGGGCGAAGGGGCAGGGGCCCGGGCATCCAGCGCCTTGGGAACTCAGGGTGCTCCCGAACTCTTCAGGGGCCTGCGGGCGCCTCTTCGCCGGCCCTCGGGGTCTCCTCGCCTCGGGGCGGAGGAGGAGGAGGAGGAGGAGGAGGAGGAGGAGGAGGAGGAGGAGGAGGAGGAGGAGGAGTGGAGGGTCGGAGGAAGGAGGAGGAGGAGGAGGAGGAGGAGGAGGAGGAGGAGGAGGAGGAGGAGGAGAGGAGGAATGGGCGAAGAGGTGGGAGGGAGGAGCCGCGGGGAGAGAAGCGGCGAGGGAGCGGGGGCCCCTGGGGGTGTCATTACAACGTGGGGCTCGACCCTCGCATTCGGCGCATGCCTCTGCGTGGTGCTGCTTGCTGCCACTGTTGCATATTGTAGGTACTGCTTGCCGTGGCAAGGCTGACTTAGAGCCAAGGCTGGAGATTAAGAAAACTAAAAAAACATATTTTGGGCTCGGGGGACGGTCGTTGAGGTCCAGCTGGGCCGTTTTCGGAAGCACTTGGCCCGTCGTCGGGCCGTCCTCGGCTGTTAACCAGGGAGCTCCGTTCGTGCTCATTTGGAACGTCCTCGCGCCCTCCGGAGCGCATCGGAAAAATATTCGGGCTGCGTGAGGCCGTGTTAGAGCCACCTGAAAGCTCTCGAGAGCCGTCAGCAAACGACGGAGCGGTCTGGGCGGTCGGGGGCCGCTGGCGCTCTGCTGGCGTGTCTCGGACGCGCAACGTCAGGATTGTAGTACCGATGACACTGGGCTCCAGCTTCGCCTCGCGCATCTCACTAAGCAGCGCCAAAGACGGCTGCCACAGCTCGCCATTCTCGCACGCGCTGGCCCCAGCGCTGAAGTTGAAGACGTTGGGCTTTAGGCTCCAGCTTTGCCTCCCGCACCTCGCTGAGCAGCGCCAAAGTCATCGACCATTGCTCGCTCTTCTCGCACGCGTTGGTCCCAGCGATGTAACTGATCAAACACATGGATCGAACATGGCATGTATTGAATCAGCCTCCGGTAACTTGGACATGCACTTCCCTGAATAAGGACAGCGCTTGGCTCCATTGCCCGCCTTGCTCGCACATGCTGGCTGTAATCCCGTAGACATTGAAGTCAACGTTCAACTTTCTCAAACGCATGATTCTGAGCATGCTCAATGCCTGTTGCCACTGCCCACCCTTCTCGCACGCGTTGACCCCAGCGCTGTAGCTGATGGCATTGGGCTCCAGCTTCACCTCCCGCATCTCGCTCAACAGAGTCAGCGCCCGCTGCCACTCCTCGCCCTTCTCGCACGCGCTGATCCCAGCGCTGTAACTGATGACGGTGGGCTCCAGCTTTACCTCCTGCATCTCGCTTAACAGCGCCAGCGCCCGCTGCCACTGCTTGCCCTTCTCGCACGCGCTGACGCCAGCGCTGTAGCTGAAAACGTCGGGCTCCAGCTTCACCTCCCGCTTCTCTCTCAGCAACGCCAGCGCCCGCTGCCACTGCGCGCCCTTCTCGCACGCGCTGATCCCAGCGCTGTAGCTGATGACGTCGGGTTCCAGCTTCGCCTCCCGCAGATCGCTGAGCAACGCCAGCGCCCGCTGCCACTGCTCGCCCTTCTCGCACGCGCTGATCCCAGCGCTGTAGCTGATGACGGTGGGCTCCAGCTTCACCTCCCGCATCTCGCTCAACAGCGCCAGCGCCCGCTGCCACTGCTCGCCTTTCTCGCACGCGCTGACGACACCGCTGTAGCTGATGACGTCGGGTTCCAGCTTCACTTCCCCCATCTTCCTCAGTAGCGCCAGCGCCCGCTGCCACTGTTCGCCCTTCTCGCACGCGCTGATCCCAGCATTGTAACTAATGACGCTGGGCTCCAGCTTCACCTCCTGCATCTCGCTCAGCAGCGCCAGCGCCCGCTGCCACTGCTCGCCCTTCTCGCACGCGCTGATCCCAGCGCTGTAGCTGATTATGTTGCGCTCCACTTTCGCCCCCCACATGTCCCACAGCAGCACCAGAGCCGGCTGCCACTGCTCGCCCTTCTCGCACGCGCTGATCCCAGCGCTGTAGCTGATGACGTCGAGCTCCAGCTTTACTTGCCGCATCTCACTCAGCAGCGCCAGCGCCCGCTGCCACTGCTCGCCCTTCTCGCACGCGCTGATCCCAGCGTTGCAGCTGATGACGTTGGGCTCCAGCTTCGCCTCCCGCATCTCGCTCAGCAGCGCCAGCGCCCGCTGCCACTGCCCGCCCTTCTCGCACGCGCTAACGACACCGCTGTAGCTGATGACGTTGGGCTCCAGCTTCGCCTCCCGCATCTCGCTCAGTAGCGCCAGCGCCCGCTGCCACTGCTCGCCCTTTTCGCAGGCGCTGATCCCAGCATTGTAGCTAATGACGTCGGCTTCCAGCTTCACTTCCCACATCTCGCTCAGTAGCGCCAGCGCCCGCTGCCACCGCTCACCTTTCCCGCACGCGCTGATCCCAGCGCTGTAGCTGATGGCGTCGGACTCCAGCTTCGCCTCGCGCATCTCGGTCAAGAGCGCCAGCGCCCGCTGCCACTGCCCGCCCTTCTCGCACGCGCTGATCCCAGCGCTGTAGCTGATGGCATCGGGCTCGAGCTCTGCGTCCCGTATCTCGCTCGACAGCGCCAGGGCCCGCTGCCACTGTTCGCCCTTCTCGCACGCGCTGATCCCAGCATTGCAGCTGATGACGTTGGGCTTCAGCTTCGCCTCCCGCATCTCGCTCAGCAGCGCCAGCGCCCGCTGCCACTCTTGGCCCTTCCCGCACGCGCTGATCCCAGCGCTGTAGCTGATGACGTTGAGCACCAGCTTCACTTCCCCCATCTCGCTCAATAGCGCCAGGGCCCGCTGCCACTGTTCGCCCTTCTCGCACGCGCTGATCCCACCGTTGTAGCTGATGACGTTGGGCTCCAGCTTCGCCTCCCGCATCTCGCTCAGCAGCGCCAGCGCCCGCTGCCACTGTTCGCCCTTCCCGCACGCGCTGACCCCAGCGCTGTAGCTGATGACGTCTGGCTTCGGCTTTACTTCCCACATCTCGCTCAGCAGCGCCAGCGCCCGCTGCCACTGTTCGCCCTTCTCGCACGCGCTGATCCCAGCATTGCAGCTGATGGCGCTGGGCTCCAGCTTCGCCTCCCGCATCTCCCTCAGCAGCGCCAGCGCCCGCTGCCACTGTTGGCCCTTCCCGCACGCGCTGATCCCAGCGCTGCAGCTGATGACGTTGGGCTCCAGCTTCGCCTCCCGCATCTCCCTCAGCAGCGCCAGCGCCCGGTGCCACTGCTCGCCCTTCTCGCAAGCGCTGATCCCAGCGCTGTAGCTGATGACACTGGGCTCCAGCTTTACTTCCCACATCTCGCTCAGCAACGCCAGCGCCCGCTGCCACTGCTCGCCTTTCTCGCACGCGCTGATCCCAGCATTGTAGCTGACTAGGGCTGACCCGCGGCCTCCGGCCGCGGAATTTGCCCGCCCTGGCGTGCACGTGGAAGTGGAGCATCTCTGGGGCCTCGCGGGTAAAGGGGGGGGATGGAGGGGACGGCGTGGATGGAGGAGGTGGCCGCTGGAGGGGAAGGTGGGCGAGGGATGCAGGCAAGCAGGCCTGAAGGCAGGAACGCGGTGGTGGAGGCGGTGTCAGTGGAAGCACACCCATGTAGGCCTGACATGGTGTGGACAGAAGCTATTTCTGACGCCGCATTCTGTGTTCATCATAGCTTCTGCGGGGAAGGTAGTCGTGAGAAGTTTATCTGCTCTTCGCCGGGGCCGAATGATAATTTCATCTGGCAGTGCGGTGACAATGGGGCCAGTGGGCGCGGCCTAGGAGGCCCGCAAGAGGGCGTCGAGACGGAACTCACTAAGAAGGGCCTCAGTGCGAGGACACGAATCGATGTTTCGAGCGCACCTCCCCAAGACGTCCCCAAATAGCGCAGAGATGGCTCCCAGAGGGTCCAAGAAGCCTCCAAAACGATGCTGGAAGTTCGACGCTCCCCAAGAGAGAAGCATCCAAGGCCTCTCGGGGGCCCGCTTGGGGGCCTCTTTCGTCCTCCTGGGGGTGGGTCTCTCGGAGCCCTTTTTGGCAGTCTTGAGTGCATCTTGGGCCGTCTTGGGGTGATGTGGGGTCATCTTGGGCGCCTCTCGGACCATCTTGGGACAATCTTGGGGCCATCTTGGGCCAATATTAGGCGCTACTGGGGCTGTCTTTGGTGTTTCTTGAGCCGTCTCGGGCTCCTGGAGCCGGCCCGGACGGCCCAAAGACCGTCTTGAAGACTGTCCAAACGGAAAGGCTTGGAGACGGGGCGGCGGGGGCCTCTACAGCCGTCTTGGAGACGGGGCGGTGGGGCCGTCTTTGGCCATTGTGAACTGCTCTTGGGGCTGTCTTGGGTGCGTCTTGGGCTGTCTCGGGCGCCTCTGGAGCCGTCCTGGGGCAGTGTGTGGCCCTTTGGGCGCCCTCATGGGGGCGTCGGGGTGCGTCTTGGTGCGAGCTGGGGGGCCTGTATAGCCTTCTGGACGCTGCGAGGACGAAAAAGTAAGATATATTGAAGATGTGCGCTTCCCGTCGGGAATGGAACGGTTTGGGCCTCTTGGGGCTCTCCTGGAGGCCCTCCTGGGCCGTCTTGGGAGCCTCCTGGCCTGCCTTGGGGGCCTCTGGGGCTGTCGTGGAGCTCCCAAGGGTGCTCTGAGGCCGTCTTGGCGCCCCCTGGAGCCTCTCGAAGCTGTCCCGTTGGCCATTCTTGGCTGCTCTTGGGGCTGTCTTGGGTGCGTCCTGGGCCGTCTCGGGGCCTCTGGAGCCGGCCCAGACGGCCCAGAGACGGTCTTGAAGACTGTCCAAACGGAAAGGCTTGGAGACGGGGCGGCGGGGGCCTCTATGCCTTGGGGGCCTCTGGGGCTGCCTTGGGGCTCCCAAGGGTGCTCTGAAGCCGTCTTGGCGCCCCCTTCAGCCTCTCGGAGCCGTCCCGTTGGCCATTCTTGGCTGCTCTTGGGGCTGTCTCGGGTGCGTCCTGGGCCGTCGGGGCCGTGTGGCCCTTTGGGGGCCTCTGGGCGCGTCTTGGGGCGAGGTGGGGGGCCTGTATAGCCGTTTGGGGGCCCTCCTGGGGTGCTCTGGGGCCGTCTTGGGGCGATCGGGAAGGCCTGTATAGCCGATATCAAAAATGCAAGGTTTCCGGAGCGAATGGGGCAATTTTTGCCTCTTGGGTCCCTCCTGGGGGTCCTGGCTTGGGGTCCTCTGGGGCTGGCTTGGGCGCCTCTTGGGCCATCTTGGGGCTCCCGGGGACGCGCTTGGAGGCCTGGTGGGCCGTCCTGGGGCGGTCTTTTGGGTCTCTTCGGCCGTCTTGGAGCGTCGGCTAGCCGAGAAGGCGAGAAGGCAAAACTCCCTCAAAAACAATTGAAACATTCAGGATTGTGGACTCTGGGGGCATGCTTCGGAGTACTGTTGGAGGCTCTTGGAGGCCTCTTGGGGGGATAGAGTCTTGGGGCCTCGTGTGGGCGTATAGGGGCCCAGGGCTCGGAGTGTCAAGGTTTTTCCCCTTCTTTGGCCCCCTCGTGGGCCTGGCTTGGGGTCCTCTGGGGCCGTCTTGGGCGCCTCTTGGGCCATCTTGGGGCTCCCTGGGCCGTCTGGGGACGCGCTTGGAGGCCTGGTGGGCCGTCCTTGGGCGGTCTTGTGGGTCTCTTCGGCCGTCTTAGCGCCTCTGGGGCCGTCTTGGAGCCGTCTCGGAGCCGTCTTGACTCGTTTTGGGACCGTCGCGGCGCTGTCATGGCAGCCTCTTGGGCTGCCATCGGCGCCTCAAGAGCCATCGTGGGGCCGTCTTGGGGCCGTCCAGGGGGCTTCCAGAGGCGTGGTGGGGTGATCTGGAGGGCCAGTAGGGCCGTGTGGACATCGCAGTGGTGGACCTGGAAAAAGGCTCGTTTTCCATAGGAATTGTTAACGATTTGTCATTGATCTGGCTTTGGGGGGGCTCGTCCTGGAGCCGACTTGGAGCGTCTCGGGAGGACTTTTGGGCCGTCTGGTGCGTAGCTTGGGCATCTCGGAGCGCTGTGGGACCTAGTCGAAGGCCCTCTTGGGCCGTCTTGGGCGCTCTGTGGCCATCTAGTGCGCCTCGGGCCGTCGTGGGGCGACCAGGGGGGCCGGTTACGCTCCGCCAGCGCCCGCACTTCCCGCACGCACGTGCCCCTGCGTTGTAGTGTAGATGACGTCGGGCTCCACCTTGAACTTCCACATCTGACTCAGCACTGACAGCGCGTGATGCCATTGCCCGCTTCTTCTGTATGCGCTGACAGTCGCAACGTAGTGCCTTGGGACGAGTTGCACACCGAACCGAATTCCTTCGCGGAGCAACCACAATGCTTCGCTCCATTGTTTTGTCCGACCGCAGCTCTTGATTGTCGCTTCGAGGGAACTAGCATCTTCTCGACAAGACCAGGCACCGCGGAAGGAACACCGCATCCGGAAAGACGAGGCATCCGCAAAGACGAAGCACCGCGGACTGAACAAAACCTACCTTGGGTCAAAATGGAATGTTCTAAACCGGCTACGGTTCTGTCCTCGTGCCATCCAGAGCGCACCGGAAAACATATTCGGGCTGCCTGAGGCCGTGTTGGAGCCACCTGGGAGCTCTCGGGAGCCGTCGGCGAACGGCGGAGCGGTCTGGGCGGTCGGGGGCCGCTGGCGCTCTGCTGGCGTGTCTCGGACGCGCAACGTCAGGATTGTAGTACCGATGACACTGGGCTCCAGCTTCGCCTCGCGCATCTCACTAAGCAGCGCCAAAGACGGCTGCCACAGCTCGCCATTCTCGCACGCGCTGGCCCCAGCGCTGAAGTTGAAGACGTTGGGCTTCAAGCTCCAGCTTTGCCTCCCGCACCTCGCTGAGCAGCGCCAAAGTCATCGGCCATTGCTCGCTCTTCTCGCACGCGTTGGTCCCAGCGATGCGACTGAACAAACACATGTATCGAACATGGCATGTATTGAATCAACCTCCGACTACTAGGTCATGCACGTCCCTGAATAAGGACAACGCTTGGCTCCATTGCCCGCCTTGCTCGAACATGCTGGCTGTTATCCCGTAGACATTGAAGTCAACGCTCAACTTTCTCAAACGCATGGTTCTGAGCATGCTCAGTGCCTGTTGCCACTGCGCGCCCTTCTCGCACGCGCCGATCCCAGCGCTATAGCTGATGACGTCGGGCTCCAACTTCACCTCCCGCATCTCGCTCAGCAGCGCCAGCGCCCGCTGCCACTGCGCGCCCTTCTCGCACGCGCTGACGCCAGCGCTGTAGCTGAAGACGTCGGGCTCCAGCTTCACCTCCCGCATCTCGTTCAACAGCGCCAGCGCCCGCTGCCACTGCGCGCCCTTCTCGCACGAGCTGATCCCAGCGCTGTAGCTGACGACGTCGGGCTCCAGCTTCACCTCCCGCATCTCGCTCAGCAGCGCCAGCGCTCCCTGCCACTGCTTGTCCTTCTCGCACGCGCTGACGCCAGCGCTGTAGCTGAAGACGTCGGGCTCCAACTTCACCTCCCGCATCTCGCTCAGCAGCGCCAGCGCCCGCTGCCACTGCTCGCCCTTCTCACACGCGCTGATCCCAGCGCCGTAGCTGATGACAGTGGGCTCCAGCTTCGCCTCGCGCATCTCGCTCAGCAGCGCCAGCGCCCGCTGCCACTGCCCGCCCTTGTCACACGCGCTGACCTCAGCGCTGTTGCTGACCAGGGCTGACCAAGATCGAACTCGTTGAACGGTATCCAAAACTGCTTCCTGTGCGATGGCCACTGGCTACTTCTAGATCAGATGATGTCTGTTCAAACTATCATGTGGCTGCCTAGCGTGATCACACGCACAGTGCATCGCAAGAGACTCGAAAGCGTCAAAGGCCGACCCGAAGGGAGACCGGGAATCCTGCCAAGTCGACAGATGACTGCTCACACGCTGTGATGACCAAGTTGTACACGTTCTTGTCTACCTCCAAAATTATTTTTTCCATCTCGCCGAGCAGTGATAATGCCTGCCGCCACTGGCAACATCTCTCACACGCGCAGATCCCAGCGGTGTAGCTGATGGCGTTCGCCTCCAGCTTAGCCACCCGAATCTCGCCCAGAAGCGCCAAAGCCCGTTGCCATTGCTGACCCTTCTCGCACGCGCTGATCCCTGCGTTGAAGCTGACAACGTTTGGGTCCAGCTTCGTTTTCCACATCTCGCTCAACAGCGACAAAGCCTGTTGCCACTGCCCGCCCTTTTCGCACGCGCTCATCCCAGCGCTGTAGCTGATGACGGTGGGTACCAGCTTCGCCTCCCACATCTCGCTCAGCAGCGCCAGCGCCCGATGCCACTGCTTGCCCTTCTCGCACGCGCTGATCCCAGCACTGTAGCTGAAAACGTCGGGCTCCAGCTTCACCTCCCGCTTCTCTCTCAGCAACGCCAGCGCCCGCTGCCACTGCTCGCCCTTCTCACACGCGCTGATCCCAGCGCTGTAGCTGATGACGTCGGGTTCCAGCTTCGCCTCCCGCTGATCGCTGAGCAACGCCAGCGCCCGCTGCCACTGCTCGCCCTTCTCGCACGCGCTGATCCCAGCGCTGTAGCTGATGACAGTGGGCTCCAGCTTCACCTCCCGCATCTCGCTCAACAGCGCCAGCGCCCGCTGCCACTGCTCGCCCTTCTCGCACGCGCTGGCGACACCGTTGTAGCTGATGACGTCGGACTCCAGCTTCACCTGCCCCATCTTCCTCAGCAGCGCCAGCGCCCGCTGCCACTGTTCGCCCCTCTCGCACGCGCTGATCCCAGCATTGTAACTGATGACGCTGGGCTCCAGCTTCACCTCCTGCATCTCGCTCAGCAGCGCCAGCGCCCGCTGCCACTGCTCGCCCTTCTCGCACGCGCTGATCCCAGCGCTGTAGCTGATTATGTTGCGCTCCACTTTCGCCCCCCACATGTCCCACAGCAGCACCAGAGCCAGCTGCCATTGCTCGCCCTTCTCGCACGCGCTGATCCCAGCGCTGTAGCTGATGACGTCGAGCTCCAGCTTTACTTGCCGCATCTCACTCAGCAGCGCCAGCGCCCGCTGCCACTGCTCGCCCTTCTCGCACGCGCTGATCCCAGCGTTGCAGCTGATGACAGTGGGCTCCAGCTTCGCCTCCCGCATCTCGCTCAGCAGCGCCAGCGCCCGCTGCCACTGCCCGACCTTCTCGCACGCGCTAACGACACCGCTGTAGCTGATGACGTTGGGCTCCAGCTTCGCCTCCCGCATCTCGCTCAGTAGCGCCAAAGCCCGCTGCCAGTGCTCGCCTTTTTCGCAGGCGCTGATCCCAGCATTGTAGCTAATGACGTCGGCTTCCAGCTTCACTTCCCACATCTCGCTCAGTAGCGCCAGCGCCCGCTGCCACCGCTCACCTTTCCCGCACGCGCTGATCCCAGCATTGTAGCTGATGGCGTCGGACTCCAGCTTCGCCTCGCGCATCTCGGTCAAGAGCGCCAGCGCCCGCTGCCACTGCCCGCCCTTCTCGCACGCGCTGATCCCAGCGCTGTAGCTGATGGCATCGGGCTCGAGCTCTGCGTCCCGTATCTCGCTCGACAGCGCCAGGGCCCGCTGCCACTGTTCGCCCTTCTCGCACGCGCTGATCCCAACATTGCAGCTGATGACGTTGGGCTTCAGCTTCGCCTCCCGCATCTCGCTCAGCAGCGCCAGCGCCCGCTGCCACTCTTGGCCCTTCCCGCACGCGCTGATCCCAGCGCTGTAGCTGATGACGTTGAGCACCAGCTTTACTTCCCCCATCTCGCTCAATAGCGCCAGGGCCCGCTGCCACTGTTCGCCCTTCTCGCACGCGCTGATCCCACCGTTGTAGCTGATGACGTTGGGCTCCAGCTTCGCCTCCCGCATCTCGCTCAGCAGCGCCAGCGCCTGCGGCCACTGGTCGCCCTTCCCGCACGCGCTGACCCCAGCGCTGTAGCTGATGACGTCTGGCTTCAGCTTTACTTCCCACATCTCGCTCAGCAGCGCCAGCGCCCGCTGCCACTGTTCGCCCTTCTCGCACGCGCTGATCCCAGCATTGCAGCTGATGACGCTGGGCTCCAGCTTCGCCTCCCGCATCTCGCTCAGCAGCGCCAGCGCCCGCTGCCACTGTTGGCCCTTCCCGCACGCGCTGATCCCAGCGCTGCAGCTGATGACGTTGGGCTCCAGCTTCGCCTCCCGCATCTCCCTCAGCAGCGCCAGCGCCCGCTGCCACTGCTCGCCCTTCTCGCAAGCGCTGATCCCAGCGCTGTAGCTGATGACACTGGGCTCCAGCTTTACTTCCCGCATCTCGCTCAGCAACGCCAGCGCCCGCTGCCACTGCTCGCCTTTCCCGCAGGCGCTGATCCCAGCATTGTAGCTGATGACGTCGGGCTCCACCTTGAACTTCCACATCTCACTCAGCACTGACAGCGCGTGATGCCATTGCCCGCTTCTTCTGCATGCGCTGACAGTCGCAACGTAGTGGCTTGGGACGAATTGCACACCGAACCGAATTCCTTCGCGGAGCAACCACAGTGCTTCGCTCCATTGTTTTGTCCGACCGCAACTCTTGATTGTCGCTTCGAGGGAACTAGCATCTTCTCGACAAGACCAAGCACCGCGGAAGGAACACCGCATCCGGAAAGACGAGGCATCCGCAAAGACGAAACACCGCGGACTGAACAAAACCTACCTTGGGTCAAAATGGAATGTTCTAAACCGGCTTGAGGAGGAGGAGGAGGAGGAGGAGGAGGAGGAGGAGGAGGAGGAGGAGGAGGAGGAGGATGAAGGATGGAGGAGGAGGATGGAGGGAGGAGGGGGGTGGATGGAGGAGGGAGGAGGGGGGAGGGAGGGGGAGCAGAGAGAGGAGGAGGAGGAGGAGGGAGGTGGGAGGAGAGGAGGAGGGAGGAGGGAGGAGGGAGGAGGGAGAGGGAAGAGGAGGAGGAGGAGGCGGGAGGCGGAGAAGGAGGAGGAGGGGATGAGGAGGGAGGAGGGAGGGAGGGGAGGAGGAAGAGGAGAAGGAGGGGGAGGAGGAGGAGAAGGAGGAGGAGGAGGAGAAGGAGGACGAGGAGGAGGAGGTGGAGGAGGAGGAGGAAAGAGGACAGATGAGGAGGAGAAGGGAGGAGAAGGAGGCGGAGGGAGGCGGAGGCGGAGGCGGAGGGGCGGAGGAGGAGGAGGAGGAGGAGGAGAGGAGAAGGAGGAGGGAGCAGGGAGGATGAGGGAGGGGAGGGACGAGGATGAGGGATGAGGGAGGATGACGGAGGGAGGGAGGGAGGGAGGAGGGAGGGAGGGAGGGAGGAGGGGAGGAGGAGGAGGAGGAGGAGGAGGAGGAGGAGGAGGCGGAGGAGGAGGAGGCGGAGGAGGACGGTGGCGAAGACGGCGGCGAGGCGCGGCGGCGGCGCGCCGCCTCGGGCGCGCGTCCCCGCGGCCCGGCGCCCCTGGCAGAGCCTGCCGCACTGCTCCCGCAGCCGCGCCGCCGCCTCGGCCGCACACGGCCGCGCCACGGCCTCCGCTGGGGCGCGGCGGCGCGGCAGGCGACGACGACGACGACGGCGACGACGAGGACCGACGACGACGACGGTGGCGACGACGACGACGACGACACCGACGACGACGACGACGACGGCCGGCGGCGACGACCAGCGACGATGGCGTGCGGACGGACCGACCACCGGGCGGACGGCAGGGGCGCGCGCAGACCCAGGCCTCCAACGCGCCGAGCGAGCCAGGGCGGAGGTGCTTCGCCGCCCTCGGCCTCTCCGGGGGCCCCCTGGCGGGGCCCCGGAAGTGCCAAGAGGCGGCTCGGGATCAGAAGCTGCCCTCCTCCTCCGCCTCCTCCTCCTCCTCCCACTCTCCTCCTCCTCCTCTCCTCCTCCTCCTCCTCCTCTCCTCCTCCTCCTCCTCCTCCTCCTCCTCCTTCTCTCCTCCTCCTCCTCCTCCTCCTCCTCCTCCTCCTCCTCCTCCTCCTCCTCCTCCTCCTCCTCCTCCTCCTCCCCAGGGGGCCCTGGGGCCCCGCGTTGGGAAAGTCCGTGCGTCGGATCTCTGGGAAGTTGGCTCGCAGAGGCCCGGATCGGACTCGTGGAGCTCAAAGGCCGCCGCGAGGCGGCGGCGCGCACAAAGGGGTGGCGCGAGGGGGGTGGCCTTCTGAGAAGGCGGGGTGCGTCTTGAAGGCCGGTGGCCTTCTCAGAAGGCCGGGTGCTTCTGGGAAGGCTCCTCAGAAACTGGGGATGGCTTCTGAGACGCCCCCCCCCGCCTTCTAAGGAGTCCCCCCCCGCCCATGTTTCTCCCGCCCCCCTTGCGCCGACCCCTTCTGCACTCCGCCATTCGACGCCACCGTGGTCGCCGTGCTCAGGCAGTTGTGCTGGGGAGCTCTGAGGTGGGGAGGCGCTGGTGGCAGCCGAGCTTGCAGTGCGGCCCCTTCTCGCCTCGGCTTCACGCAAGAGTGGCCCCAGGCAAGAGTGACCTTTGGTGCGCGGATATCGGGGGGCGCGGGGAGGCCAAACCCGAGCGCGCACGCCGCTGCTACCGCATCGCGTTGAGCCGCTCTGAGGACCCCAGTGTACCCGCGTCAAAGGTCACCCTGGCGGAAGGTCACTCTTACGTGTTGCCGGTCTCTCTGGAGGCGCAGGACGTGGACGAGGAGCAGGATGCAGACAGGGCGGGCCCTGTCAAACAGGCCCCGGGCGGCGCCTGATCTATCGTCTCGTCACCTTTGCGTCCTCTGATGAGTTTGCGCCTGCAAAAAGGCTGCAGGTGCGCAGAAGGCACCCACGCGCACCACCACAGCGCCCGGCCAGGGTCGTCCTGGACCCCCGGCGCGGCGCACGCGCCCCTCCACGGGGCCGAGACCAGGAGGGTCTGTGCAGCGCCCCTGGGGCCCAGGATCGGAGCAGAGGGGGGAGGGGCCCAGGAGCACACAACTAAATACACGCAAATCCTGGGATCCCTCATATGTGCCCATGCTTTCTTGATTTGCGTCTTCCCCCCTCACTTCCCATGCTATCCAATCTTTTCTTGGAAGTCGCAACTTAATTGTGCCTGTGTGTTTTTCCCCTCCTGAACGATGCCGACCCGCCGACCTGTCCTCATCGTCGTCCTGTCGTCGTCGCTGCCGCTGTCGCTGCCACGGCGCGCCCGTGCTCTGGAGCCCCTCTTCGGCTTCTGTGGCCTCGGAATTCCGCCCCGCCCCCGCGGTGGACTCTGGGAGGCAGCCTGGAACACGCCATCGGCCTCGCTTTCAAGTGGTTGCCCCTCTCTCCGCTGGGGCACCGGCGCCGCCGGCGTGAAGCCTGAAAAGGAGCGAGCGGCGCCTTTCTCCTCCTGCTCGCTGCCTCGGCTTCCGTTTGCGCTCCCTCTCCTCTTCCTCCTGCTGCTCTTCTTCCTCCTCCTTCTGCTCTTCCGCCTCCTCCTCCTCCTCCTCCTCCTCCGCCGCCGGTCCTTGGAAGCCATGCAAGCCAGGGCCAAGTCTGTGAGCTCCTGGCGCGTGCGCAGGGTTCAGAGGACGGCAGATAACCACCGAGGACGAGGAGGGAGGAAGGGAGGGTGACAAGGGGGACGAGAAGGGAGGGAGGGAGGGAGGGAGGGACTTAGACCCCCTCGAGTCATGCAGAAATCACGACGGCAAGTTTGTCACGATTTCTGGCATCTGGGGGCCCTTGCGGGGCCTCGGGGCCGTCAACAAGAACGACTCAGGATGAAACGCGGGTCCGGGGTAATGCGTCGAGACTTCCGGGGGCCGACGTCCTGGCAAAACTCAGGACGTCGGGGTTCGGGGGGAGGAGGGAAGGCAGGGGGGGGGGTGGGGCGGGGGACGCCGCTGAAAGGTGTGGGGAGGAGGGTGAGACTCTGCCTGGCGGACGCCGCGCTCCCATGGGCGCAGGGCGTGCGCAGGCCCATGGGCGGCCTCGGGAGGCCCCCCCCGGGCGTCGAAAGGCGCCCCGCCCGCCCACCCGAGGGGGCGCGGCGGGCGGGGCGCGGCGCAGGGGGCAGGATCGGGGCGGTCCCGCGTGCTGAAGCGGAAGCGGGCGGGGGCGCGCGCAAGCGAGGCGAGCGTGCCTCTCTCCCTCGCAGCATGGCCACCCCCCAAAGACAAGCACGTGGACCGTTGGACGAGCTGAGGAAAAACGGATTGGAGTAGTGACCCAGGGCGCTTCGGGGCCTCCAACCTCGAGAGGCCGAGCGGCCACGAGAACTCGGGAGTCGGGCTTCCCTTCGCCCCCTGGGTGCCGACCTCCTGGGAACAGCTTGAGATTCCTGGCAGCGCGGGCCGACACCTTGTCGGGCACACTGCCATCGAGCATGGGGAGGCCAGCCTGTCCTGTACTATAACTTACACACCGGGTGCACATGAGAACTTGCACCGATGACGCAACAAGGCGGCGACACCGCGCGTGAATGGGCAGCGTGAGGCTACTCAGCGGGAGGGGCGCAGCAGGGAATGTGGCTTGATTCAGCGCGGGCCTTCCTCTGGCCCCCGCCCCAGTGCGCCTGCGCTTGACAATCGGGCCAGGCTCTGGTGGCGGTGGTGGTGCAGACGAAATGACGGCTAGCTGCGAGTCTCCCGCAGCTCGGGGCCGCTGTCTGACCGCGGGGGCGAACGGGGCCCTCGGGCGGACCGAGCGAGGATCCGACGAGGAGAAGGAAGCAACGGCGGCGGGGCCACGATCCGCGCTCCGCTTGCGCGGGCCCGCCTCCTTCCCGGGCGTGCCGGCGTCGAGGGCCCGACCAGCCGACGTGGTCGAGGACCCCTGGCCACCTTCCGCCGCCTCGTGAGAACGAGGCAGGCGACGGCGGAGGAGGAGGAGGAGGAGGAGGAGGAGGAGGAGGAGGAGGAGGAGGAGGAGGAGGAGGAGCAGGAGGAGGAGCAGGAGGAGGAGGATGGCGGGATCCTCCGCCGCTCCCCCAGGCAGGGGGGGGGGCCCCCCTCGCCCTTCGGAGGCGGGTTTGCCTCGAGCTCGGGCGTGGCAGCCATGGCGCGAGGAAGGGCAGGGCAGGCGAGGAGGGAGAGGCGATCCCGGGTCCTCGCGACGGTCGCCCCCCTCCCGCAAGAGTGGTACCTCCAGGTGCCCCGCTTTGGAGCTGGACTACAAGACGCGCCGACGCTGGAAGTTCAGGGGGGGCGGGTCGGGGCCATTAGGCCCCCAGGCCCTCTGGGCCCGTTTCCTACGTGGCAGAGTGGTGTATTTTTTTAGCTTAAATATGATGACCGTGCGCGGTGACCATCCACCAAAGACACTTACACACATTCTTTCAGGCTATCTTCGTAGCCTTCACGGCGGAGGCTGGCGCAGCATGCAAGTCTCGGCCTTGGGTGGCGGCGCAGTCCGCCCACCGACTGCTCCGAGCGAGCTGGGCCCTGACGCGCTCGACGCGCAGGATGTCGCAAAGGTCCCCTGGGTCTCGAGGTTTGGCCCAAATGGCCCCCTACAACTCAACATTGGTACGGCGGGGAGGAAGGCGCCAGTCAGAGCCCCTGTAGAGCCCGCCAGCGAACCCTTTGAAGTCCGTGTAAACCAGCGCGGGCAGAACGCTAACCTGCAAAACCTGGAAGAACGCAAAAAGCTCGGTCCTAGGAGAAGACTGTATGTGGCCTGGCAAGGGCCCGTATTATAGAGTTTCTACAGCGCGTCCCTGAACTTGAGCAAACCCCTGTCGAGCACGAGCACCATCGGGCCAGTGCCAAACCTTCTGGCAAGCACCGCCAATAAAGATCGTTCCTGTGAGGAAGTCAGCACTACCGTATTGCGCATGCCACCGCGACGTAGTCTCTCTGGGAGGCAAAGCTGGACAGCACGATCGTCCGACCATGCCTCCATCCCACACATCCAATCATCACGCTCACAATCTGGAAAGCTACGACGGTCAACATCAACAACACATTCTCGCCTGCCTCCATCATTGCTGGGACATACCGATCTGATGTGGTGCTTGTCGCACGCTGTAGGGGGTGGACTGCGCGGGCGCTGGGCGACGTCGCAATAACCGCGCTGGAACATCCGCTGATGTGACCGCATACCTCCGCCAACCAGTGAACTTTTTCTTGTTCGGCGTTTCGACATTGGGCGGGAGGGGTGGGAGGGGGGCAGGGGGTCTGGCTCCGGACCTCTGCGCAGCGCGATTGTTTGCCACAGTGCGTCCTCTGGGGGAGGCTCCACCTGCTCGAAACAGGCGCCAGAAACAGCCAAGATCTACTCCAGGGGAAGGGGGGAGAGGGGGGGGGAAGCGAGGGTCGGCGCCGATCGGCAAAGCAATGAATTTGAAAAGGACCACCAGCGCTCGCACGAAGCACACCCGCTTCACGCATGTCTGGTACCCCTGGCCTGCTGGGGGCTCGTGGTTCCTTGGGGTCTTCAGGACCTTCGGATCCGTCAGATCCTCCTTTCAGGGTCCTCGCGATCGCAGACCTCACTGAGCAGTCGCAAGATGGGCTCCATCCGGAGCCCCAGGGGCTCCTTGGGCCTCGCGTGATCCCCTGGAATGCTGGGCCGTCTGGCCCGTTGATTCCAAAGCCTACGCGCAGCCGCTTCTGCCGCAATAATCTTGATGGATGGTGGGGCCTCCTCCCTAAGACCAAGAACATCTCCCAAATCAGTGCGCCATAGGAACGATGGGGGGAAGGTCCAGTGGAGGTCCTGGAGGACTATCAACATTGCCCCAGCAGGCCCAGCAATACGTGTCCATGGCTTAGCAGCACAGCCGACTTTCTGGATCTGCCTTTTCCATGCCCCGTCGAGACAACCTTTCGGCAAGCAGCGATCTCGCCAGAGCAGCTCCCACGGAGAGAGCGGGGCGACCCCGGCACCCACCTGGGGGTCTGAGTACATACTGCCTTGCAGGCGAAGAGGTGATCCAGGAGCTGGTACTTGCACCGGCCGGATGCCACGCCTGCCAGAGTACAGCTCGCACCTAGGCTGCGTGGGGGCTCCGTGCAGCCCCATGCCATAATGCACTGCTGATGGTAATGCTCAACGAACTTGCGCGCGATCGGCCTGGCACATCGGACCATTCGGAACCTCGGGGCCCTTCGCGACGCGAGACGAACGCGAGAGCGAAGCTAGCCGAACTGGAGGGTCCGACCGGAGCCCACTTCGATCCCCAGGACCTCTAGAGCGCTGCAGTGTGCGTATTTCAGAGCCCCCAACTTAGCACGCACACGCCTGCCTAGCTTGCATGAGCTGCTGGAAACTTTCATCTTGCGTCTAGCTGCTGGAACCCCCATGTTATCTTGTACATGTGCGATAAGCCGTATGACTTTGGTTGCCCACGAAACCACACTAGCTACGGTACCTACGATGGAGACAGTAATATGGTCAGCATGCAGATTAATGGTGCGCGGGATGTGCATGGCGTGTTCGTCGAATGCATCGAAGGACCCTAACATAATGCCCTTCAGAACAAACCTGGCGACATCACGTCCAGGAAGCACACCTCGCGTTGCCAATGCCTCCGCGGAAAACAACTATCCAAGGAGGAGGAGGAGGAGGAGGAGGAGGAGGAGGGAGGTGGAGGTCGAAGCATGAGGATGAGGGGGAGGAGGACAGGGGCGAGGAAGGAGACGACAGGGGAGGGGAGAGGCAGCACCCGCTCGGTGCGCCGCAGCGTGCCGAGGCAGCTGGCCGCTCCGCCGCCGGCGGCCTGTCTGGCTTGGATCGCGCCTCGGGCGAACTGACGATGCTGCTCTTCGGGCCGGACTGCCCGCGGGTGCATCGGACGAGCATCGTCGACGGTGGGGCCGGGGGCGCAGCGGAGAGGTGCAGGGCACAACGTCACTCATACACACGCACACGCCTCATGCTGAGGGGCAGCACGCCGTGCCGCTCTTCGGCAGCAGCGCGCGGCAAGGGGCGCGGGCCCCCCGCCACTGTCTGGCCTCTCGGCCAGGTGGCCTCGGGCCGTCACCAGGCCCAGCGCGTAACCTGGAGGCAAAAGGGCCACCCTGCTCGTATGGGCCCCATGCAAGCGAAGCCCTGTAGTGAGCACGCCTCGGGAAGGAGTCGACAAGGCCAGGACTGCTTCGGGGACGCCCAGGACTGTTCAGTCAACGCCACTCGTGGGGGTCGGGATGGCCCCCCCCCCCCCCCCCCCCCCCCACGACAACTCTGCGTGGCTCCCTTTTTCCTCTTGCCTGCCCTGGGGGATGAGTCCATTGAGGTACCCCACTGGGAACAAACACTGGGCCACCTCCATCACGACTTGTCACCCCAGGAACCAGGGGGCGCCATCTGGAACCTGAGGCCGCGACAGGAGGAGGAGGAGGAGGAGGAGGAGGAGGAGAAGGAGGAGGAGGAGGAGGAGGAGGAGACGGAAGGGAGGAGGAGGAGGAGGAGGAGGAGGAGGAGGAGGAGGAGGAGGAGGAGGAGGAGGGGAACGCCTTGAGATCAGGAGGAAGCCGTCGTCGTCCTCGTCCCGCCCCGCTCGGCACCCCAGCGGGCTGCCAGGCACCGCCCGGGCAAACACGCGCGGGCGTGCGGGCCGCGAGCCCGACCACGGAGAGGCCTCGCTGCCACTGCAGCGCAACCGGCGCTCGGGGGCCCCCGGGCTCTGAGCAGGTAGCGACCGCCCCGGCATTCCTGTAGGCCTACCACGACATGTTCTTAGAGCCCAGACATGTCCTAAGAACAAAAGCAATGTTCTTATAGCATAAACCCAATACTTTAAAGCAACACGGTCTCGGCCAGACATGTTCTGAGAACGCCTCTTGCAGACCACAAGAAGTGCTTAGACCATTCTTTGGGAGGCCTATAGGCGAGCCGGGACGTTGCGCCACTGCTTGAAGGCTCGAGGCTTCCCAGACGGAGTCCGAGCTGATGGGGTCGGAGGGTCGCGCCGCATCGCCAGTGCATCCCTGATGCCTCGTCGATGCGTCGGCGCCGTCGGCGATGCATGGGCGACGCGGGCGCGATGCTCCGCCCGACCCCGCCCGCTCGGGCCCCGTGTGGGAGGCCCAGACTGGCGGGCCAGCACCAAGTGCCGCTCTGGCAGAGGGCCCCTCCCGCGGCGTTGAGTCGGCTATGCGCAAGAGTGACCCTGGGTAAGAGTGACCTTTGGTGCGCGGCTTTCTGGGGGCCGCGGGGGGGGCCAAACCTGGGCGCGCAAGCAGCTGCTACTGCTTCGCTTTCAGCCATCTGGGGGCCCATCTGTGCCCGCACCAAAAGTCACCCCTGCGAAAGGTCACTCTTACGCCTAGCCGACTGAAGGGGAACGTGGTGGAGGGGGGGGGGAGAACTGGCTCAGGGCGGGTGGGGGACTCCGACCTGGCGTCGGCGACACATCGCCAGCAGACTGGCGATGGCCCCCCGATGGCGAGACCGCGCGGTCCTGCCGGGGCGGGGTGGGCCCTCGGGGTCCTCTCGGCGAGCCCTGGGCGGCTGGGGATCGACTCGTTGCCCCCGACGGCGTGGAAGGCCGAGGTAGAGATGGACAGACTGATCGCCGTTGGTGCCCCCTGCCGCCCTTCCCCTCCGCCCCCCTCCCTTCAAGCAGTGGCGCAGCGTCCTGGCTGGCCTGCCTGTAGGCCCACCGAAGAAGGTTCTGAGACCCTGCTGTGGTCTGCGCGACATGTTCTCAGAGCATTTCTGGCCAAGGCTGTCTTGTTTTAGCACATCGGGTTTACGTTCTAGGAACATTGCTTTTGCTCTTAGAACATTCTGAGGTTCTAATCAGATTTCGTGGTAGCCCTATAGGATTGCCGGGACGGCCGGTGCCTGCTCACTCCCCCCCTTCCCTCCCCCCCCAGGCCTGGTTATGCCGGCGCGATATGCCGAGAAGAACACATGATGATGCTGCTGCGATGTTTCCCGCAGACTGTCCCGGTGGCATTCCAAAGGAACAGTCGCCGCGCGTGCTTATCCCCGTGTTCTGTATTATCAGGACCGGCGCTGGGCCGATCGGGCGCTTCGCTGCGCTGCGTCGCCCCCCTGGGCCTATCCTCCCCCATACGTTGCCTCGGAGGCGTGAGGCCGGGGCCGGCCGTCCTGGACGAGCGCTGGGGGCCAGCCAGCCAGGGGGTCGAGCGCCGCCAGCGTGCGCTCCAGCGCGCCTGGGGCCTGCGGCATGACCTCCTCCCGGCAGGGGGGGGGGGGGCGGGGCTCGCGCGCTAGTCGCAGCTGCGGTTGCCCTCCGCTCGGCCGCGCCCCTCCGCGGATCGTCCTCCGCGTCCTCTTCCACGTCCTCGTCCGCGCCCGCGTCGTCGTTGCCGTCGCCGCCGCCGGCGCCTCTCCTCTCACAGACCCCCTGGGATCATAACAAAAATCTCGACGGATTTTTTCCCTATTTTCAACCTCTGTGTGCCTATCGAGGGCCTTGGACGCCTTGGAACCCTCAAGAAGCGACTCAGGATGAAAAACCGGTCTCGGGATATGGGTCCAGACTGCCAAGGGCACACGTCATGAACAAATCATGGCGTCGAGCGACCCTTGGCGCGCGGCCCGCCGATCGTGGCCTGCGGGTGCGACGCTGGCGGCCAGCGCGCTCGGGCTTGGCCCTCCCGCGCCCCCCCCCCCCCCGACAGCCGCCCAGCTCAGGTCACTCCGTCGAAGGGCCACTCTTACAGTTGGCCCGTATTCGCAGGGATGCGCGGCAAGGATGCGAGGGTCTTGGACGCCCGTTTCGAAGCTCCTCGGAGCGGGGCGCGGCCGACGAAGGTGGTCAAAAGGTGGACCGAGGAGGCAAGGATGCAAGGGTACCCATGGCAAGGTTGCCCATTCTCACAGTGAGGATGCGCACAGTTAGTGACACCAACTGTGCGCATTGACTGTGCGACGTGCAGCTGGCCCGCTCTCCTCGCCGTCCCGCTCTCGGGTCATGCCTCGGGCCTCCGGCGGCCGCTCGGGACGACTCAGGCACGGGCCGCCTCGCCAGCGGCATGGCGAGGGCCTGCGGCACCTCCTCCTCCTCCTCCTTCTCCTCCTCATCTTCCTCCTCCTCCTCCAAGCCCTCCTCCCCCTCCTCCTTCTCCTCCTGCTCCTGCTCCTGCTCCTGCTCCTCCTCCTCCTCCTCCAAGCCCTCCTCCCCGTCCTCCTCCTCCTCCTCCTCCTCCTCGAGGGGGAAGAGTTGTGGACGCTCTGGAACGCAGACTTGGCCGAGTCCAGAGGCCCTAGGCCCCAGATCGTGGGCGCCTCGATCTTGCTTCCGCCGCTTCCCGCAGGGCTTCCGCCGGCGCACTCGCCTCGCCGCCGAGGGCGAGGCGCCGCCGAAGGTGAGGCCCTTTTTTTGGCGGCGAGCGAGGGGGGGGAAGTGAGAAGGAGAAGTTTCGGGTTCTAGCTTCGGTTTTCCAGCCTCGGGATGCGTTCCAGCGGCTGCGCCTCGCCGGGAGCGTTTCGGGATGCCTGGATCGTCCCGAACGGCCGCCTGAGACCCAGGATATGACCCAGAAACCAATATCGGCGGCGAGCGAGGGGGAAAAGTGAGAAGGAGAAGGCCTTCTCAGAAGGCGACAGGACTTCTCAGAAGTCCTCGCGCCTTGTGGGCATTTTTTTCCTGTGTCTTTGGGGAAGGCCTCGAACACTTCTCAGAAGGCCTGGGGACTTCCGAGCCTTCTGAGAAGGCCCGCCTACTCTCATTTCCCCCCCTCGCTCGCCGCCGACTTCTTGACCGCGCATGTTTTTGGCTCTTTGCGGGCCTCCAGGAGTTTCTGGGGTCAGGATCTGGCACGGAAGCGAAGCTTAACAAGCCCCAGCCCGTCTCAAGGTCCTCCCTTGGCTCCCTGGAGCTGTGTGGGGGAGCTCTTGGGGCCAGCTTCAGAGACCAACATAATCCGAACACTTCAGTTCTGGTGCGATTTGATACTGACGGCCTGTTCGGGCCCCGCGCGCGTCCAAAAAGCCGCTCAAGATACCCAAGGTAGCACCAAGACTGCCCACGAGGTCCCCGCCAGGGGCCCAAGAAGCCCCCAAGACGGCCACACAAGAGGGACCCCCAAAGGGGACAGCTAAACTAACCCAGGAGCAACGTTGGGAACCTGTAGCACTCAGGTTCTAGCAAGCCGTGTGTGTGTATATATATATATATGTATATATCTATCCTACAGTGTGTAACATCGGAGGGGCGAGTGGCAACGCGATAAATCCCAATCGCTGCTTGCCCTGCATTCTTCTCCCCCCGCAAGCCCTTCCATTCCCTCTCCAGCCCTTCTTCCTCCTCACGTTCCTTATCTTACTTTCCCGTCCTTCGATCCACCATCCCTCCCGCCGTGCCTCCGAAGCCCTCCTTCCCTCGCTGCTGCTTACGGTCGATTCCTCCACCACGGTCTTGTGGCCGTCTCGAGGGCTTTTGGAAGGAGCTTGTTGAATGCCTGTTACGGTCTTGCGGCCCAACAACATGGCACGCCCGTGCGCGAGTGGCATACCAAGTGACCCGCTGAAAACTCCCCGTCGCTGAACATTTAAAACTAATTGCAAAGAGAGCCTGGAATGTAGGATGGAGTGAAGACACGAGCGACCAGCTCCTGAACTTTGTAAGGAATGGAAGCTGCTGCCCTGACAACAGACGGACGTCACCTGCAAATCTATTCCGCCTAGTTTGAGCGGTCCGAGAGCAAAAACGGTCTTGGCAGCCTGACGAGCCCGCTGAAGACTCCCCGCTGCTGGACGATAAAATATCATACTTGCAAGGAGAGGACAATGGAAGCTATGATGGAGGGAGGACACGAGCGACCAGCTCCTGACTGGCTGAGCCCATCTTGGGCCGTCTTGGGGCCCTCTTGGATCCCTTGGGACGTCTTGCGCCAATATGGGGGCACTCTTGGGCCGTCTTGAGCCACTCTGGGGGCCCTCGTAGGGCCATCTTGAGCCGCCTTGGGCCCCTCTTGGGCCAGCGTGGGCCCTTCGTGGGCCGTCTTATGGCTCTTTTCGGCAATCTAGGGGCGAGCTTGGGGGCCTCTTGGCCTGCCGTGGGCGCCCAGAGGAGCGGACAAACAAGTATGCGATAATCACACAAGAGCCAATGACACATCGGTGATTTTGTGCTCCGAGACCCCTGGGCCAATCAAGCGGGCTATTTAGATCGTGTTGACCCGCCTTGCAAGCGCTCGAGCTGCCCCTCTGCCCTATTGGTCAGCTCTGGTCGCTCATTCGTGCCCCCTGGAGCTGCTTTAAGCGGCCCAGGGGAGGCCCTAGAGGCCCCGTGATTCACTTAGGGGGCCTCAGGCTTGGGGCCAGGGTTTGGAAATGCTGGGAGCCTTGGGACCTCTTGGGGCTTGAGGGGTCGTCGCGCGCTTCGCGCGCGCTCAAATCCTGGCGCGTGTCTACTGTGTCCTACAAGCGTACGTGTACACATCTATACACCCGTCCGTTCCGACACCAATTCAACCATACGCTCGTCCATACATCCTGTCATCTGGAATCGGTGGATACCTTCATCCAACTAGTTTCATCCGGGCAGCAAAGAAAACACCGCACATGACCCACCTGTGAAATCATGTATCCAGACGTCCATCGATTCTCCTCACAAGCGCTCAAACACCACAAGCCCATCCAACCGCCCATACATACACGCATTGAGTGATGCATTTGTCAGGTGGGTGGCCGCCCGTAGACGGCTCCAAGCTGCCTTCAAAAAAAAACTCTGAGGCCCCCAATTGCCAGGAAGGTCGTCTAATCCGCCCATTGTGGCACACCTTTAATGCGGATTGTGCCCCACAGGGAGCACCACCCACAGCTCCAGAGACAAGTTTCGCACAACGTGCCCCGCTCAGTTTGGCACGCCCCTCGCGTGAATCTTGCCCCAAAAGGAGATCCGCCTGTGACACCGATGGGCAACTTCACATGGCGCCCCCCCGCTCATTTCGCCACATGCCTCACATGGGTCGTGCCCCACAGGGAGCTCCACCTGCGGCGTCAGTGGGCGTGTTGCCGCGGGTGTATCCAGATAATTTAATCGCTTCGCTCATTCCGCCGGCCCTCGAGCGCTCTATGGGGCCTCTTTGAAGCCTCTCGGGGGCCTCTTTGGGGCCTCCTGGGGGCCTCTTGGGGGCCTCTTGGGGGTCTCTTGGGGCTCCTTGGCGGCGTCTTGGGGCCCTCTTGGGCCTCTTGGGGGGCTCTTGGGGCGGGGTAGTCGAGTGGACCCCCCTCGGAGGCCACGATCCTCGTGAGGGGTGTCGAAAAAAGGCCCTCAAAACCATCGCTGGGTAGACCTGGTCGGGCTGCGGTCGGGATACTTTTCGCCGTGGGACCCCCAGGGGCCGCCCCGCGCGCGCGAACTAGAAATATTGTTAACCAGTTACCGGAGATTTTAGCACGCCTCTGGCCGGTTGGGCCAGCGATTTCGGCACTTCCTTCACGCGGCCCGTGCTCAACAAGGGATTCGGCGCGCCTGCGCACGCTTGCTCGGCAGCAGCCCCCTATGCCACTGCCCCGCGGCGCGCGGTATATGAAGCGACGGCCGCGCACTGCGCTACATGTGACTGCAGAGAGTTGCGCCCTTCGCCAGGCTCATTCTTTGCTTATCACTGGTCTTCGGCTCATGACGCCGCCACCGTGCCTGGGTTGTGAGACAGAGGCTTCTTGGATACCTGTTGTGGGGTCCCTTGGCATGCTTCTCGTGCGCCTTCAGGAGCCAGTTTTGTTTTGAAGCCTCTTGGGGGCTGTCTGAGGGCCTATTGGGGCCTCTATTCGACCTCTTGGGGGCCTGCTGGCAGTCCGGGGGAACAACTTTTGGCGGAGGACTCGACATGTGAGTCAGAGTTTCCGCTCTTGAGCCCCTCTGGGGTCCATCTTGGGCAGCCTTGGGCGACCCTTGAACTGTTTGGGGCTCTCTTGGGCCGTGTTGAGGCTCTCTTAGGGGCTTCTGGGGCTGTCCTGGGGCGATCTTGGGTGCCTCTTGGGCCGCTGTTACGACATTGCAATCGAAGCTCTGAACTATACTTTTTCCGAAAGGAATGGGGCAATTTTGGCTATCCGGGGCCCTCTTGTGGAGCATGTTGGAGCCTTCTTGGGGGCCTCTTGGAAGCTCTTCGGGCGTCTGGAGGCCATCTCGGGGCGTCTTGGGTCATGCTGCGCCGCTCTCGTCGCCTATCCGTGTGTTTTAAAGGCGGCCGTGGGGAGGCCTGGGAGGCCCCCCAGGGGGGGGGGGAGCTCAAGAAGGGGGGGGGAACCCGGGAGGGTGTCCCAGCCCCGGGCCTGGGGCCCCGGTGCCCCAGCATATGGTAGATACATGAAAAATCAATTGACCTCCCCCCTCTGGTGCCCAGTGTGTTTCTTCAACTGAAGTGCCTCTCCTGGCGCTCGCACTTTTTTTGTACAGCGAAAAATCTTGAGCCTCAGGCTGTGTCCACTGCTGTGCATGCACACGTGCATTTTCGGCACCGTCGTGCCAACGGGAATCACAATCATTGGGACCTCGGGCGCCTCTGGGGGCTTTTTGGGGGCCTGGTGGGGCCTCTTGGGCTCTTGGGGGTCTCTCGGGGCCTCGTCGTGGATCCCGGGGGCCTCTTGGGGACCTTTTGGGGTCTCATGGGGGCATCGTGAGGACTTTTCGGACGCCTCTTGGGGTCCTCTGAAAGGCATCTGGGCCTCTTGGAGCTTATTGGCGCCTCTTGGGGGCTTTTTGGGGGCGTCTTGGGACCTCCCAGGGGCCTCTTGGGGGCGGCCTAGAAAGCTCAGGAGCCCAGGCCTCTGAGGAGCCTCTTGGGCTCTGCCATCGGGCCTGCGGGGCCGTCTGGGGAATCCTCTTGGGGTCGTCTTGGGCTGACGTGGGTGGCTCGGGTGCCGTCGTGGGGCTCCCTGGAGCGCCTCCTGCGCCGCCGTAGCCGCAGTGGTGAGTCCCCCATCGCGTGGTTGCTGAAACTGTGCGTTTCCCGTGGGGGACTCTACAACTTGGGCCTCCCGACGTCTTCTCCTGGAGCATCAGGGCAGGCTCCGGAGGCGACTTGGGAGCCTGCAAGGCTTACTTGAGGTCCACACTGGGCGTCTTGGTGCACTCGGTGGGCGTCTTGGACGTTCCTTGGGTGGTCTGGGTTGCCTCAGGGCCCCTCTTGGCACGCTCTGGGCCTCCTCCGTGGAAGCTCCCACGCTGTCTAGGGAGGCCCTTGGGCCGTCTTGAGGGTTCCGTGGGCCGTCGTGGGGATCCCTGGAGCGCCCCGTGCGAAATCGTAGGCGCAGTGGAAAGCACGAGCGCGCGATTGCTGAGAACGTCAGCTTTCCTCTGGGAGTTGCCCGACGTTGGTCCTCCGACGTCTGTCAGGGAAGGCTCCGGATGCGTTTTGGAAGCCTCCGGGCCCTACTCTCTTTGCAGACGGTTACGCCCTGGCGTCCCCCCCAATGAATGAATGCTACAATGGATGTGTGCAACATAGCACGAGGCCTCGTAAGTAAGTCGTCATCTCCGTGAGCCCCGTCTCAAGCGCGATGGCTTCGACCTGAAATCGGGGTGCCCACGGCCCCAGACGATGCGAGGCGCACGCAAGCCGACGGACACGGGGCTGGCCATCGTCTTGGGCTTCGACAGCAGATGCAACCCACCCTATCGTTAAGTCGGGCCTGTCCCCCATACAGGGGGACTTGGGGCGAAAAATAAAAGGTAGTCAAACAATGCCCCCAAATGGTCAAACATGGTCAACAACTCGTCCCCAGACTATCTTTGGACCATTTTTGGAATACCCCTCCTGTAGAGGGACAGGCCAGACCTGACCCCAGGCCCTGCTTGAGGCCCACGTGGGGCCTCTTGGGCAAGGGCTCCTAAGTTCGCGCTTCGCGCTGCGCGAAGCGCGAGAGCGCGAATAACTTCGCGCTCTCGCGCCGCCCCCCAAGGGGGAGAAGAGGAGGACGAGGAGGAGGGGGAGAAGGAGCGAGGACCGCGAAGCGCGAAGCGCGAATAACTTCGCGCCCTCGAGGGAGCCCTTGCTTGGAGCGCTCTGCGGGGGTGCTGCACGCCCGCCTTGGGCGCGCTCTGGACGGCCTCGGGGCCCCGCCGGGCACGCTCGTGGCCTCCTCCGGAGGGCCGCCCAGGCCGCCTGGGGAGCCTTCCGTCGGGCACGTCCCTCTACAGGGGGGATATCCAAAAAAAGTGAAACGTAGTCATGGGACTTTTTTTTTTTTGTTTTTTTTGTTTTTTTTGTTTTTTTTTTTGTGTTTTTTTTATATGTATATATATATTTTTCTGTTTTTGAAGACTTGCTGGGTATCTTTTGTTCTTCGTCCACAATCCGCCTGTAAGGGGGGACACGCCCGACCTCAGGGGAGCCCTCTCGGGCTCGTGTTGGGCCGTCTTGGGGGGTTTGTGGGCCGTCTTTGGCCTCCCTGGAGCGCCTCGGGCGCCGTCGTAGACGTCGTGCATTTCTAATGGTGCTCATTTCCAATTGTGCTTATTTCTATTTGTTCCTGGCCCCCTAGTGGCCAGGAAGAGGCCCAGGATAGAACAATTAGAAATGAAAGGATCTTGGCCCCCCAGAAAATCAAACAACTTTCGAATAATTAGAGATGAACAATGTGTAGACGCAGTGGAAACCTCAAGCGTGTGGTTGCTGAATCTGTGTGTCTTCCCCAGGGCATTGCCCAATCTTGGCCTGCCGACGTGTCCTCGAGGAGCGCCCGGGGAAGTTGTGGAGGCGTCCAAGGAGCCTCCAGGCCTGCCCGCCCAGAGAGCCCCGACCCGCCCTCGAGTCGCTGGAAAATCACCCCCGGAAGCCCGTGATCGCCTCCAGACGGCCTACCACGCTCCTGGAGCGCTCCACGCAAGCTTCCCGACGGCGCAGAACGCCCCCCAGACGCTCCAAGAGGGTTTCACGACGCCCCCCAAAAAGGGCCTGTAGACTCATGGTTCATTGGTTTCCCGTTGGCTTTTGGTTGTTTCTGTTGGATTCCGCCTTTTTCGCCTGCTGACGCCCCACAACCGCCCCAGAAGGACCAAAGCTCGCCCCAAGAGGGTTTCAGAGGCCCCCTCCAGGGCGCCACAGTGCACAAGAGGCCGCAAAGACGCCACAAGAGACTTCCATGACAGCCCCAAAACACACCGAATCGCTAAACCGTCACCGCCAGACGCTCATGACGCCCTCCAGGTGACCCCACCACTGACGAAGACGACGACGACGACGACGACGACGAGCGCAAGAAGCATAGTAGGGCGGGCGAGCGGGACATGGGATGCAAGTGGCATCTGGTAATGGGACGGCGTCGAGGATCGGCACGAGTTTCTCTGGGCGTCTGGGGGGGAGCTTTTGGCGGCCTCTTGGGGGCCTCCCAAGGTTTCCCGGGGGGCCTCTTGAGGACTTCTCGGGGTCTCCTGGGGGTCTCTCGGGAGACGCTTGGGGCCTCTTGGGGGCCTCAAGGGGTGTATGTATGTATGTATGTATGTATATATGTATGTATGTATGTAAGTATATATGTATGTACGTATGTATGTATGTATGTACGTATGTATGTATGTATGTATGTATGTATGTATGCATGTATGTATGTATGCATGTATATATGTATGCATGTATGTATGTATGTATGTATGTATGTATGTATGTATGTATGTATGTATGTATGTATGTATGTATATATGTATGTATATATGCATGCATGCATGTATGTATGTACGCATATGCGTATGTATGTATGCATGTATGTACGTATGTGCGTGTGTACGTATGTACGTATGTACGTATGTATGTATGTATGCATGCATGCATGCATGCATGTGTGCATGCATGTATGCATGCATGCATGTATGCATGTATGCTTGTATGTATGTATGTATGTATGTATGTATGTATGTATGTATGTATGTATGTATGTATGTATATATGTATGTATGTATGCATGCATGCATGCATGCATGCATGTATGTGCGTACGTGCGTATGTATGCATGCATGCATGCATGTAAGTCTATATGTATATATGTGATTATGAATACTTTTATACAATACATACATATACATATGTATATACATGCTGCTTACTCCTGTTGACTCGCACGCGTGTCATTCGCACCACGAGCCGACTGACATGAAACAGACATCGTGAAACTGATGAGCATCACATCCGCTTCCCCTCATAAGGGGGCTATACCTGCTCACATCAACGAGCCGCTGCCGCCCCTAGGCAAGCCTTGCAACAACAATGCACTATAGCGGCCCGCTGGGTAGACGTCACCACAGGCATCTATGTATCAATAAGATGCACGTTATTTCCGCCTGGTTACGGGGTTCAGGTGTTGTCTTGTTTTGTGGTGATTCATTTTTTCACAGCGCCCGCAGCTTCAGGCATATGCGTATCAGGGGCTACCATGTGGGATCGAGTCGGCAGAGACTGCAAGGATTTCAAAAGCGTGCGTCCATGCCGACCTCAGCCAGGCCCCCCCCCCCTGGGTGGAGCTCATGCCGCGAACTGGCAAAACTTCGCTGTGCGGCCACCAGATGATGGCGGGGAACGGGGGAGCGCAGCAGCAGCACAGGACCGTCGCAGGCAGCGCAGCGCGCAGGGTGCCGAGAAGGGCGGCCGCGGCGGCAGTACTCGGCAGTCGCGCCCTCGCGCCCCCTCCACGCTCTCCCTCGCGCTTCCCTCGCGCTTCCTCCTCCACGCCCCCCTCCACCACCCCCACCTCCTCCTCCTCCTCCTCCTCCTCCTCCTCCTCCTCCTCTCCTCCTCCTCCTCCTCCTCCTCCTCCTCCTCCTCCTCCCTCCTCCTCCTCCTCCTCCTCCTCCTCCTCCTCCTCCCTCCTCCTCCTCCTCCTCCTCTCCTCCTCCTCCTCCTCCTCCTCCTCACCCTCCTCCTCCTCCTCCTCCTCCTCCTCCTCCTCCCTCCTCCTCCTCCTCCTCCTCCTCCTCCTCCTCTCTCCTCCTCCTCCTCCTCTCTCTCCTCCTCTCTCCTCCTCCTCCTCCTCCTCCTCCTCCCTCCTCCTCCTCCTCCCCCTCCCTCTCCCCTCCCCCCTCCTCCCCTCGGCGCCGCGGCCACGCCGAGGCCGACAGGTCCTAAAAATATCCCCTGGGGTGCCGCCATTGGGCGCCGCACTCCGGCCGCAGAGCCGCGTCCACTTTGCCCGGGCCCACGAGCCTCTTCCTCCTCCTACTCCTCCTCCTCTTCCCCCCTCTGCCCCCCTTCCTTCACCTTTCCCTCCTCCTCTTGCTCACTTTGGCGAGGCGGGGAGGGCCGTGACCGCCTTGACCAGTTCCTCCAGGTCCTGCTGCTGCTGGGCCTGGTTCGCCCGAAGCTTCTCGAGCATCTCGAGGACGGCCTCACGGCCCTCGGGCGCGGCCCCCTCTGGCTTAGGCTCGTCGACGGCCTGGTTCATCCCGTCGATGAGCACGGTGACGACCACGTTGAGCAGGATGAAGTTGGTGATGACGACGAACGAGACGAAGAAGATCATGACAAACTTCCTATAGGCGGGGTCGACGACCTGGAAATAGTCCAGAAGCGGCCACACGCAGCCCTCGGACCAAGACTCCCCTGTCAAGATCTGGAACATCGTGTACAATGACGTTGTGAAAGTACCGTAATATCCCATGCCAAAGCACGTAGTTCCGTGGAAATCGGTTGAGCTCCAATCTTCTGACTGCTTCCCATCAGCATCGCACATGACGTTGCCGAACAGATCGACGGCAAGCACGGCGTAGATGCACATCACGATCATGACGATCAGGAACGCATTTCCCACACCGCCGCCTGCATGGAAAAGCGACAGTATGATTTTCCTGAGAGACGGAACGCGGCCGAAGAGACGGAAGATCCTGAAGGCCCTCACCATCCGCAGAAGCTTGAGCTTACCAAGGTCAACTCCGATCATGTCTACGACGCCGAGGCCCACGACGACGCAATCGAAATGGTTCCACGGGTCACCAAAGAAAGGCTTGATCCAGCTCCCAGCGAGGTTCCACAGAAGCTCGACCAGAAAGGCGATGTTGAAGAACCACGAGAAGACGTTCCAGACACTCTTCTGGCTGCACTCTGCTGATGCGATCTGCTGCTCCCACCCGCAGCCTGGGTCATACTCACGCTTGTAGCACTGGACGGCAAAGTTCAAGATGATGATGAACGCCACAAGATACTGGACGGGGTTCGACTGGTACGAGTCGAAGACCTTGATCTGGCCCGCGTAGTGCTGGTGGTCGAGGACCTGCTGCCTCTTCTAGGGGAACGAACAACGACATAAACATAACAACTCGGTGGTCCGCGCGGATTTCTCGGATCGGCGCTGGACCCCCCTCCCTGGCGCGCGGAGCGCGCCAGGGGCGGCGCCGGAAGCGCCGCCGTGGGGCCCCAGCGCCGATCCGAGAGATCCGCGCGGACCTCCGAATTTTCATGTTTATGTCATTGTTCGTTCCCCTATCTTCGGCGTGTGCTCGACGTGGACGGAAGGAGCGTGGTCGGCGTTGCTGTCGTCTTCCGGGTCGTTGACGGGCAACCTCTGCATGCTCTCCTTCCTAATAATTATCCACCGCGCGAGGCGTTCGGCGGGCCGTGCTCCCTGGCTCGGAACGAACTCGCTCTCGAGCCAAACCGGCTACGGACTAGGTATTGGTTGTTGATGTCTGTACGTTTAAGTCGGGCATGTCCCTCTTCAGGATGAATATTCAAAAACAGTCAAAAATAGTCAGGGGACGAGTTTTCTCTTAGTCAATGTTTGAATATGTATCGACAATTTTCTATTATTCTTCCAGGATCCGCCTGTAAGAGGACATGCCCGGCCAAACTTTACGTGCTGTATACCTTGATATCGGCTGCAGGCTGTCCACGTGCTTTGTTGGTAACTGCCATTGCTGTCCGTTCTCGATGTGCGTCCTGGGCGTATGTTGCTGGCTTGTCTTAGTGGTTGCTGTCGTGGATGCCTGCTGCCGCAAATTCTTGCTGCCTGATATTGGAAACGCGCCCTTTTCGTGGCGAGTGGACGAGCAAGTATGAGCAGCACTCCGTAGGCTAAACGACGCCTTGTTGCAATCAGCTTATCAGAGAATCAATGGATTCGGTTTGTACCAGGGATTCGGTTTTCTGCTATGTAGGGGGGCCAGGGTGGCCAGGCGGACAGCGACGACGACGATGACGAGGGCGACGAGGACGAAGGGGAAGAGGAACAATTCGACGACGAGGGGGCGGAGGGCCAGCACCCCCATCCGTCCAATCGGCCCAAGCCAAGAGCAAGGGCAGAAGGGGGAAACGCATCGGAGCTACATTGGAGCCATATTGACACAATCTTGGGGTCAACTACCACCCCCTGGATTAAAAAGTTGAGATCGGAGCTACACCGAAAGAACCGCATCCTGGTATTCGTCCGTCGTTCGGCTTTCGAGCCGCGACTTTCGATCGGGACTGGATCCTGGGAAGTCGATGGTCGCTGTTCGACCGGACCTCTATCCTCGACCCTCGAAGTATCTGGGGCCCTCGATCCTCGATCCTCGAGCCTCGATCGAACCTCGATCATGGATGTTCGATCGGCCAGGCATTCTGGAGCCTGGAGTTTCGATCAAGCCTGGAACATCGGTTCTCGATCGTCGCTCTTCGATCGGCCATCCAGCGTCGAACTTCGACGGATCGTGGCCGCTCGACCCTGGCTCCTCGATGTCCGAACGGCCCTGGATCCTCGACCCTCGATCTCCGACCCTCAACCATCCAGCGTCGAACTTCGACGGATCGTGGCCGCTCGATCCTGGCTCCTCGATGTCCGAACGGCCCTGGATCCTCGACCCTCGATCTCCGACCCTCAATCGCTAGGTGGCTGTCGAACTTTGATCGGCCGTGGAACCCAAAGCCTCGTTTCCGATCGATATGGGTTCGCTCTTCCACAGTCGGTCCTGGGTCATCGATCGTGTATCCTCGATCATCGATCCTGGATCGTCGATTCTGGACCGTACATCCTGGGTCAACCGCGTCGCCCCAAAATGACCCTGGGATCGAACCTCCCACAGGGGGGCCTGCGACCCGACGCGACCTCAAGATGGCCTCAAGATGACTCCAAGACAAACCTGTGAACCGAACGATGCAACGGCCATCCCTGCGGACATCCGCCCAGGCGCAGATAGGACCGCGCGCGCGAGGCTGTGGCAACTGGAATCTGACTTGCACGGAGAGCATGCGACACGGAACAATCCAATACTGTGATGATAAGAGGAGAGAGTGGGAAGAGGAATAGGTCCGCGGCGTCTGTGTGAGCGTACATGAGACCAGAAACTCGAATGTCAGGAAGTCTCAAGCGAAATCGTCGTTTTCTGGTGGCATGAGATGCGACAAAAAGTGATGTGTGAGGAAGTCCCACGCGAAATCGCCACTGTCTGGCGGCCTCAAAAGGGACCGGAATATTTTTTTGAGGAAGTCCCACGCGGAATCGCCACTTTCCGGTGGCATGGCCGAATTTCCGGTCGCCCTGGGAGGCGACCGGAAACTTTTTTTGAGGAAGTCCTAGGCAGAATCCCACTTTCCGGTCGGAGCCCCATTTGGCCTTTATAATACAACCCCCTGGATTAAAAAGTGGAGACCGCAGGGGCCGAGGTAGACGTGGTTTGCCTCCCGTTAGGCAGCGGGGCCCCGGGACAATGTTGGATTTGTTGCCAATTCCGGAGTTTCCGGTGCCTCCATCATCCCTTTTAATATTATAAAGGCCAAATGGGGCTCCGACCGGAAAGTGGGATTCTGCCTAGGACTTCCTCAAAAAAAGTTTCCGGTCGCCTTCCAGGGCGACCGGAAATTCTGCCATGCCACCGGAAAGTGGCGATTCCGCGTGGGACTTCCTCAAAAAAATATTCCGGTCCCTTTTGAGGCCGCCAGACAGTGGCGATTTCGCGTGGGACTTCCTCACACATTACTTTTTGTCGCATCTCATGCCACCAGAAAACGACGATTTCGCTTGAGACTTCCTGACATTCGAGTTTCTGGTCTCATGTACGCTCACACAGACGCCGCGGACCTATTCCTCTTCCCACTCTCTCCTCTTATCATCACAGTATTGGATTGTTCCGTGTCGCATGCTCTCCGTGCAAGTCAGATTCCAGTTGCCACAGCCTCGCGCGCGCGGTCCTATCTGCGCCTGGGCGGATGTCCGCAGGGATGGCCGTTGCATCGTTCGGTTCACAGGTTTGTCTTGGAGTCATCTTGAGGCCATCTTGAGGTCGCGTCGGGTCGCAGGCCCCCCTGTGGGAGGTTCGATCCCAGGGTCATTTTGGGGCGACGCGGTTGACCCAGGATGTACGGTCCAGAATCGACGATCCAGGATCGATGATCGAGGATACACGATCGATGACCCAGGACCGACTGTGGAAGAGCGAACCCATATCGATCGGAAACGAGGCTTTGGGTTCCACGGCCGATCAAAGTTCGACAGCCACCTAGCGATTGAGGGTCGGAGATCGAGGGTCGAGGATCCAGGGCCGTTCGGACATCGAGGAGCCAGGATCGAGCGGCCACGATCCGTCGAAGTTCGACGCTGGATGGTTGAGGGTCGGAGATCGAGGGTCGAGGATCCAGGGCCGTTCGGACATCGAGGAGCCAGGATCGAGCGGCCACGATCCGTCGAAGTTCGACGCTGGATGGCCGATCGAAGAGCGACGATCGAGAACCGATGTTCCAGGCTTGATCGAAACTCCAGGCTCCAGAATGCCTGGCCGATCGAACATCCATGATCGAGGTTCGATCGAGGCTCGAGGATCGAGGATCGAGGGCCCCAGATACTTCGAGGGTCGAGGATAGAGGTCCGGTCGAACAGCGACCATCGACTTCCCAGGATCCAGTCCCGATCGAAAGTCGCGGCTCGAAAGCCGAACGACGGACGAATACCAGGATGCGGTTCTTTCGGTGTAGCTCCGATCTCAACTTTTTAATCCAGGGGGTGGTATTAAAAGGGATGATGGAGGCACCGGAAACTCCGGAATTGGCAACAAATCCAACATTGTCCCGGGGCCCCGCTGCCTAACGGGAGGCAAACCACGTCTACCTCGGCCCCTGCGGTCTCCACTTTTTAATCCAGGGGGTTGTAGGGTTAAAAGGGTCATCTTGGGGCAATCTCGAAATCGTCTCGGGTTCATGGGGCCGTCCCCGGGCCACATTGGAATAACGTCGGGGTCACGCGGTAGCCTTAGTTCAGCCGGAAGACAATGGATTCGTCTCGGTGTTCTCTTGGGGCCGCATGGTCGCTCTGGAGTCATACAGGGGCCATTGCTTAGCAGGGGGGTATCTTGCAGCGACACAGGGAATATTGTGATCCTTTTCAGAGCTCTTTCGGTCCATCTTGGAATCATCTTTCCGTTGCTGCCTCTCTCGCTGTTGTTGCTACAGATGTTGCTGTTGTGGCTGGCGTTGATGCTGCTGGTGCTGCCTGGGCTGCCCGTGATGCTGGTGCTGGTAATGTGTTAAAGTTCGGGTCCTTTTGGAGCCATCTTGGGGCCCTCTTGGGGCCCTGCGGGAGCCCTCTGAGGGCCCTTGAGGGGCCTCCGAGAGGGCCAATAATTCAGCACACATTTAACACAAACCACCTCCTTATCAGAGAGCTCGTTGTATTAAAGTTGTGTTGCAAGTCGGGCCCCTCTTGGAGCCATCTAGGGGCCTTCTTGGGGCCCTGCGGGAGCTTTCTGGGATACCTACGAGGCCTCCGTTGGGGCCATTACTTCAACACACGCACACACATTTAACACAAACAGCATCCTTATTGGAGAGTGTCTTGTATCACATTTGTGTCAAATTCGGGCCCCTCTTAGACAGCCCCAGGATGGCCCAAGAGAAACCCACGAAGGCCCCAAGATATGTTTTTTAGCTTCCATGCGGGGGGTCACCATGTATCCGCTCTTTGTACACATGCTTCCT